GCAGCCTGGCACAGCCCCCACAGCTCTGCCGGCTGCTCTCCCAGTCCTGTGCTCCCTTTTCCCAGAAATCCTGACCATCCCCTGCCCTTGTCCTGGCTCCAGGGGCTGCAAACTCCCTTCCCGGCTCCCTCCTGCGCAGGGAGGCCGCGGGTCCCGGGCGAGCACGATGCTCACGCTTGAACCGGGGAGCTTATTTATTTACCATGTAGACAAAAACAATCCCAAGGTGCCTAAATAGATTTTTCTAGCGATTAAAGATGCAGAGTAATTTTAAGGATGAGCTTTGCTTGCTGCTTTGTCCTCGCCGCCGCCAGAGTGGGAAGGAGCCATTTGGCAAATGCTAATTATGAAACCAGATCCTGGGGCTCGCTCCGCCACCGCGCTCCAAAGGGCCGATCCGCAGAGGAAAGAGGGTGGAGGCGGCGGGGAGGGAACAACCCCGGAGACCCCAGCCCGGAAAGACGAAATGACCGGGAGGGACTGTTTTTTTTTGAGCAGCATTTATTTATTTCTTCACAACATTTCTTTAATACAGTGATTTTTAGGAAATTGTACTCTTTTTGACACTTTTGACATTTGTACAGTACAGTGTAACGCTTCCATAAGTAAACTTCACAAAAATAGGAGGGTGGAGGTGGGGAAACTGTAGGTGGGGGCAGGGGAACCTGTAAAATAAAGACACAGCGCTCCAAGAAAAATAAATAGAGGGAAGCAAGACCTCCGGGTCAGTCGTTGCTAGAGGAATATCCACGTTTCACAGTCTCCACATAAGCACGTTACTATATTAACAGACAAGGAGCCGAACGCCCCGGAGCCGATGGGAAGCGCTCGCTTGTTCCCAGGGCTGCGCAGTGGTCACGGCCGCGGAGCTGCCGCTGTTTTGCTACAGCCTGCTTTGCTGGCCTTGCTTTTATATATATATATCCTTTTATAATGTTTAAATAATAGATTTAAAAGTGATATTCACAAGCAGGGAACCACACTGATGAAAGTAAATGCACCAACACGGCCACAGCACAGCAGGTCACACGCACAGCGTCACTTGCTACTTCTATTTACAAGGAGGGAGTTTTTTTCCTTTTTCTTTATATATACAAGGAGGAAGACAGCAGGAGCATAAATTAGCATCTATTTATACAAATAAACAAGAGATATGAAATAATCCATCCATCTGGGGCGAGAGGAGAGCCAGAGAGCGAGGAAAGCCGAGCGGGGAGGCGGAAGCGCCGGGATGCGGCTGCGGGGTTCCCGGCACAGCCGCCCCCTTCCCAAGCTCTGGCTCCGCTCGGGATGCGGTGGCGGAAGCGCCGCAGCACCAGCTCGGCCGCCGCCCATGCTCCC